TCAATCCCACACAAGACAAAGTAGAGATTCAAGGAGCTTACCGCTTCCAAGAGAGCTGACCCGTGTCAATAAAGACACCCCCAAAGCAACTGGGGTGTGAGGAGTGGTCTAGCACCACAGAGGATGCCCTGAGAGTTTGGAAGGTGTAGGGCTGAGACCAGAATCCCACCTGCCCTTCCAGGCTTCGGCCCTTTCCTCCAGATCATGCGTTCATCCCAGGAATCCTCTCAATGAGGGGGATTTCAGGCCGGATGGCCAGGGGTGGGATATTATGGGGCACACAGGAACCCTGGGGGTGTGAGGGCAGGTGGCTGCGACCTCACCAGAGAGGCAGCCTCCTACTCAGCTGGCTGCTCTGGACTGTGTTTGGAAACGCTGCTGCCGGATGTCATGATTCTGGGTGGAGGGCGTTTAGGAGCCAAATGAGTTTGTGTGAACAAAAGACTCAGCCCTTGATCTGAACTGTCCAGGGCTCATGGGGAGTTTCGTTTCCTTCCTTGTTCTTGCCCTGAAAGGAGAGGCCCTAAGAAAAACCATACACATTGAGAAGTGTTTGGACTTGAGATCCGATGAGCTGATTTAAAAAAAAAAAAAAAATTCCCCTGGAACAGCCTCTAGATATGAAAAGCATAAAGTTTACAAGACACGTTACCCTCCCTCCCTGAGACGGCCAGCTTTTGTCCAGCTGACCATCCTCCGGGGAGAAAGGCAGACCAGCAGGCCTGGCCTCTGACCCAGGGATCTGCTGACCCGAGTCGGGGGTCAGGCTCTCAGAAATGGAATGGCCCCTGCGGTGGCCTGGGGGCGATGAGGGAGGCTGCGTTCCCTGGCAGGAATGAAAGATGAAGACCTTGAAGTGACCTCAAGCTTTAGAAATGATTCTACGGGTTTAAAAAAAGAAGAAGAAAAAAAACTTGAGACAAAGCCCTAGGGTCCAAAGTCAGAAGATTCCCGTTCAATTAGCTAAGTAAACAAAACGGTGCCGGGGTGCCTACCTGGTTTCTAAGATGTGTCTACCCTTTGCCTCCCTTTTCGTTGCCCCCTCAGCCTCTGAAAAGGAAACACCCAGCAGAGGGGCTGAAGAGGAGCCTCAAGCCAAGGGCAGCTCCCTGTGGCGCCTGGAGGTGAAGGTGGGGCAGCCAGGACGCGGAGCGGGGAGCCCTGTCTCCCGCTGTCACCCGAACATTCGATCACACCCAGAGAGGAAGCCTGGTGGCAGGGCTCCACCTAAGGAGGCCTGCCAGGTTAGCGAAACAATAAAAAGGCAAGGAAAAACATCCTGGTTCCGAGGAGGAAGGGGGGAGGAAGGGCAGGAAGAGGGGCCTGCTACCGGGGCGGCGAGGGCGGATTTAATGAGATGTGGCCCTGGGCTTTAAACACCCCCTCGGCCCTGGCGGCCGAGTTTTTATAAGTTCAGCGGTTAATTTAATCTACAGACCCGTGTGAAGCGGCCCAGGATGCTAAGGAAATTATAGAAACATCATTTGTCTGGAAAGTTTACAGCGTCCGAAAACATATGCAGTAGAATGGCGTCGCAGCACGAAGGGCCTGAGGCCTGCACTGGGGGGGGAGCGTGGTCACTGTTGTCACTGCCCCTCACCGGCCAGGGTGCTCACCGAGGGCCCCCCAGGACCCTCCGGGCTTGGATAAGAGCTATTTAAAGGGATAAATTAGTTTACTAGTAGACTTTTACAATTAAGATTGGGAAACCTGACACTCAATTCAAATATAACCAATACTTTAAAAATCAGTTGTACAGCATAGCCAGTTAAGAAAAAGAGATAAAACAGAGGGAGGAAAAAGGAAGGAGGTGAAAAGAGAAATGAAACAAAAGGGAGAAACTTGCAGAGGGAGGGAGAAATAAAGCTAGGGAGAATTTTAAAAAGCAGACGCCACCACATAGGGTAACTATTATTATCACTACACCAGCCCAAGCGTGGGTGGCATTTGCTCCCTGCAGGCACCATGCTAAGCTGTTCACAGGGATCGTCCCTTAATCCTTGCAACAGCTCTAAGAGGTAGGTGTCATTGTCGTCTCCGCGTTTCTGAGGTATAGTGAGAGGAAGGAAGTTGCCCAAAGCTGCGCGGCACAGAGTAGAACAGGACCCCAACCCAGGTCTATTTGATTCCAAAGGAAGTCCAATTTTAAAAAATACAGAAATAGAGAAAGAGTAAAGGATGAGAAAGAAAAGAGCAAAACAAAGGCCAACAGCTACAAAAACAGCAACATCTTCAGACAAGGAGAGCCAGGGAGCACAGAGGCGACTGACCCTCCCGCAGGCCGCCTGGCCCACGCGCAGGCCCCCGACGCGCAGCGAGCATCACCTCCCCACAGCCTGCGCCGCTCCCGTCCACGGCGGTTACCTGCGCACAGGATTCAGAAGGGGGACGGAAGAGAGGAGGGAGTCGATGGTGATCACACATGAGTAAGAAAAGGCAAGGCAAGGACGGCTGGGGTTTTGAATGTGCGACAGAGAGATGGATGGGACCATTAATAACCAAAGGGAAGCTGGGCTATGGAGGAGGAAGGGGTGACATGTCTGCATTTAAAGCCATCATCTGTTGTGTGGAGGTCTGGCAGGCCGCTGAAGGTGGAGAACTGGACTTCTGAAGAGAAGCAAGTTCTGAGAACCACCCCATCAGGGAAAACAGGTGAGGCCATGCGCAGTCTCCTCTCCACCCCTTCACCCCTGCTGCCCTCCCCACCTGGAATACCCAGCTAGCCTCCCCCTTGGCCTTCTGGCAAAATCTGACTCATTTCTCACAACCGGCTCCGAGGCCACCACTTCCAATAAGTCTTTCCCAGAGAGACCTCTCCCTCTCGGCTATTGCTTTACCTTGTTACACAATTATGACTTATTTGATCACATTTCCAAGTCCTTATGAAAGAGTGACTCATTGGAGGGGCTCAATAAATGTTTACTGAACTGAGCTGGACGTGGAAGGCCAACGGCAGGACTGTGAAGAACATCCCAGTTGGTGGGAGGGAGAGGAGATGGGAAAGAGTTCACGGCGACCAGAGGTAGCTGAGAGGACAGAGATGAAGGACTGAAAAAGGCCACTGAGATTGCCGAGGATGGTCTCCCTCTCTCCGCCTCCTCTCCAACTTTCTACTCACCCTCCCGCATCTACTTTCTTCGTGAAGCATGGTCATGCCCGTGTGTTTTAGGGAGTGTTAATGACGAACACGCACACAGCATGTTACTAAGCTTGTCCGTGTGGATTAATTCGTTTTACCCCAACAAAACACTGTGAAGTGGACAGAACTAGAATGATCATCCCCATTTTACAGATATGGACACAGGCTCAGAGATGAAATGCCCTGCCCAAGGTTCATTGTATTATAACTCAAATTGCTTGCTATGTCCACATTTAACTTTTAAAAGACGGCATTTAAAAGACAGCATCATACAAACTCCATATATTTTCCAGGATCAACTGTACAAATAATGGTTTCTTTCCTTTTGCCTGTAAAAAAGAACGTATATGCTTAGGTTTCTGAGTATTTAACCTTTAAAAGACGGCACTTAAATTCCGTCAGCATTTAAATTCGGCCAGCGGGACCCACTCCTTACCGGGAACTAAAGTGCCCTTTCATCAGATAAAGGTTAAAAGTGCTTTCGCAGTCATAATTATATTTGCTGTGCTTCAAAAGCCTTGTTAAGGAAGCAAAACAGATATTATGATCCCCATTTTTAACACGAGGAAAGTTAAGACCCAGAGGCATTAGGTAGCTGCCCAAATGCCACTGAGCTAGAAAGTGAAGGGGTTAAGACCAAAAGTCCTCTGACCTTAACAGAGCTCTTGAGCCACCACTGGCACCTCCCTTCCCTAACTCTTCCAGCAGCTACAGACAGCAGCCCTCCATCACCACCGAGGCGTGACTGTACTATAAATAACTCCTAACCAACCACAGGAATTCACCTATCCAACGGGTATGATCCTCTTCAAAGAGGTCCCATTAAAACATATTTATTCCAATAATGCTGATAGCTCAAGCTGGTTTCCAGAATTCTCTAATATTCAATGGAGCCTGCAGACTATTCTCGAGTTTCCTGAATTTTCATCCCTTGATAACGGATGTGGATTATTTTAGAGATAGACAAAAATTCAAAGCCCAACCCAGTGACTGATGCAGGAGGTGGAGATTGGTGACCCCATTTGGGATCCAGAAAGAGGTTTCACTGCAAAGAAACACTAGTGAGTTGCTTGTGGGCCACTCCCTGGCTCTGAAGGTAGCTTCCACCTTCTTCAAATGCTTTTTAGGCTTGTGCCAATAGCCTGCAAAGGTTCTGAGCAGAAGGGGAACACTCACTGGCCACAAAGGTCCCAGTATATTGATTTTTAAAGCTTATTATTTTGTAGCAAACCTGTCCCATACTGTTTTTATTGAATGCTAAGTGCTTCATGTGTGTTAAGCTGGTCTCCTCAGATGATTACAGGTGTGGCACTTACTTGTTCTAACTTCAAATCTTGCTCTTTCCTCTCTGCACCTGAAGCTAAGGACGAAGAGGAAGTTCTAGGGATACCGAGGGGTGAGGTTGGCAGGGTTCCAGGGTGAGGAAGGACCAGAGGTCCTTGGAAGGTGGACTTGAACCTTTTACATTCAGAACTTGACCCCTGTTCAAGAAGCCTGGAAATGGAGTGGGTGCTGTCATCAATGCAGTGGTTCGGATAAATGGGCATCGGTTTCAGTAGCATCATCATTGCCAATGTTTGCAGAGCTCTCCTACCCAGGCACTGAGCAATCTGCTTGACAGGCGTACATGACACTTACATTGCCTGAGTAGGGCCTACTGATAGCCCATCTGACAGATGAGAAACTGGTGGCACAGAGAGGCCGGATAACCTACCAAGTCCCATAACTGGTAAGTGGCACTGCTGGGATTTGAACTGAGCAGTCTGGCCCCCACGCCAGGTCTGTGACTGCAAAGCCAGCAGGGCTCTTATCCACACCCGGGCAAAAAGGTGATCCCTGAAGTCTCACCACATAGCCTCACCTGAGTCTACAGGAGTGAAACTCGTCCCCAAGTTGAAGCTGTTTCGGTCTCCTCCTGCGATACAGATAAGGAAATAGGAGCGGTTTTCAATACTGGCCTAATGTAGGATAATCACTAGTCACGACTTGTGCAAAGAACAACATCCCACCAGATTACAACCAGGCATCTTCCCCTGCATTCTCGTTATTCCTTCCTCCAATGTGACTGCTTCAGTTCAGATGGCCCAGGATGGTGCAGGACCAACTGGAGAGCTTGACCTTGGCCTCTGGCCTCTTCTCATCACTCATCTTCCTCTTTGGTCTTCATTTTCCAACTTAGCAAAGACTCTAAGTAGAAACTTGTCACACTTATCAGATCCATCTCCTTGCCTTCAGCAGCCCAACTCCTTTCTAGCACAGGAAGGTAGAAGCCCCTGTTATTCAGGGTCTCCAGTAAGGTCAGAGCCTCCCCTCAAGCCCCAGCAACCGGGAACACAGAGCCTGCCAGCCACACCACCTCACCTGCGAGCTTTCCTCAAATACTCTTACATGACAGGGAACCCAAATGGTTCTATGAAGCACAAGTACCCCAGAACCAAAATATTAAAGAAAAAAAAAAGTGTCAATTTTTAACAGCTTCTGTAGCCTTGGCAGGTGGTCTCGCCAGCTCCTGATGACAGGAGTCCTAGGCCACGTGGTGGTGCGGGCGACGCTGCAGTACCACCTGGGCAGCTGAGGTCACAGGTTGGACAGGTGCTCCCTGGGCCGAAGCCTGTGCTAGGGACTAGGGAACAAAGATGAATAGGATCTGGTGCCTCCTCCCAAGGAGCTGAAGGTCTAGCCAGCTCGCAGGTGTACCAGCAGATCCTACGTAAGGCCCTTTACCTCATCCCGCACACAGGCTCTCGTAGCTCCCAGACCCTGAGCTCAGAAGCAAGGTGTGTCTCCTCACACATCATGCCAGCATCAGGGAAGTCGGGAGGTTCACAGGATAAAGATGGACCCTCTCAGGAATGGAGCTCTTAGCATGGGGAGGACCATCCCTCCTCTTCATAATGAAGAAACGGAGGCCCAGAAATGGACATGATTTGCTCTAAGTCACACTTTGGCAAAGTGGCCAAGCCAAAACTTGCCCTTTTGGACCAGCTTTCACCTCCAGCCAGGCCAAGTCACTGGAGTGCCATTTCCACCCCCAATTGCAGCTCTGTCACGACGACAGCTGTGAAATTGCTTCACTGGTTTCCGGCACCTCTCCAGGACTACCTAAGTCTTCAAGCTGGTTGGAAGCGTCCTGATTTATCAAATAATCTCCCAATCTAAGGTGACCTCAAGTTTTGCATTGTGCCCTGAACAAAGAGGCCAAAAGTTTCTGAGCACAAAGTGAAATTTACTGACTCTGGCTGGAAATCAACCAGGGAAGATGAGGCCAAAGAGTGGGAGCTCTGGAACGAAATGGAGAGCCTTCTCTTTCCTCATTTTGGAAATATGCTTTTCCATCATTTAATGAATTAAAAGGGACCTTTTAAGGTCCCTTTTAATCCTGAGTCAAGAATTCTCAAAATGTTCTTCTAGACCCAAAACAAAAATCTAATTTTCCCCATTACTCCACAATTTAAAGGATCAATTACTGCCAAGGAAACGGGTCTAATTTAGAATGATGCAGGTCCCTGTGGCATTCTCTTGCCCCATCCCAAATTTTGCATTCCAGTTCCTTCTGAAACACTGTTTGCCTTCTGCCTGGCCACTCTGCCAAAGCACTTTGCTAGGCTGCCTCCCTGCCCAGATGCAGCCACCTCGACACATCTATGGAGAAGAGCTTGCCAGATTCTCCAGAGGAACCCACTTCCATCAGCAGCGTCCACCAAGCCTCCTATTCACCTCACACCCTGCAGTCAGGCACCCATGCAAACATCTCTTCAACCTGCCTCGGACCAGAGGAGGAGGTGGAGCCCAAGGAGCTTCAGGAGATGGGGTTAGCAGAGCAATGCTGTGATTGCCCCCCTCCCCCGCACACACAAACCACTAGCAGAAGATACCTGGATGAAAAAGAAAGGCAGGAGACAGGTGCTCAGTTTTAATCAAAATGCCCGGTGACAAACAGGGCACGGTAAGATCTATAAATTCATACAGTGCTGCTGGGAGTATAATTTGGAACAATTCTAAGGGACCACTGGGTAGTCCTGCCAGCATCTTAAAATTTTCCACATCCAAGAATTGATACTAGGCCAATAAACAGGTACAAATACAAAAACTGATGCACAAAGATGTTTATCACAGCATTATTTATGATAGTGAAAAACTGGAAACCGTCTATATATCCAATAAATAGCTAAAAGACAAAAAAAGTTATGGTATAATGGAACAGCATCTAGTCTGGATATTCACATGGATATATAAAACTTTATATTCCACATAAATGAGAAACAATAAGAGTTGTTAATGTTTTAGCTCTAAGGTTTGGCTCAGTTCTGCTGAGTGAAGGGTCCCAGGTTCGATTCTGGCCAAGGGCACATACCTCAGTTGCAGGCTCGATCCCCAGTCCCGGCTGCGGGAGTAACCAATCAATGTGTCTCTCTCATATTGATGTTTCTCTCTCTCTCTCTCTCCCTTCCACTCTCTCTGAAAAGCAATGGAAAAAATATCCTTGGGTGAGGATTAAAAAAAAAAAATTAAAAAAAAAAAAGAATTGTTAATGTTTTAATGTACTTCTAGCAGTTGGAATGTAGGTAATATTTTACTTGCTGTTTTTCTGTTTAANAAAAAAAAAAGAATTGTTAATGTTTTAATGTACGTCTAGCAGTTGGAATGTAGGTAATATTTTACTTGCTGTTTTTCTGTTTAACTTCCAAATTGTATGACAAACGCATAAAATGTTTATAATCAGGAAAAAATTAATGTTATAATCTTTTAAAAGCAAAGATGACCATACAGTTTGGAAATACCAAAATTTGAGCACTTTATCCTGAGCCTAAGTCAAAAATGTCACCTCACAGCCACACTGTTGACTGATGGCAAGCCAGGCTTCTCTGGGCTGAGGGTCCCGGGTCTGGCAGGGGGAACAACTGTCAGGGAGGAGGGGCCCTGCTTGAAGGGAGAAGCTTCCTCGCCCTCTGACAGTTCCTGGGCCAGTGAGGGAGGAAAGAACCCAGTAAGAAAGAAGCAAACACTTCAGACACGTACATCCAAACCCTTGACGCCAGAGATCGTCCACCGTGCCCCAGTCCAGTATCACGGACCCCACCCTACCTCAAGCAAGGATGCAGGCCTCTGCTCCAATGGCAGGCCCTGCCCTCTCCCCCACCCAGAGAAGAAGACTGTCCAGTCCACTGTCCTACTCCTTTTGGGGGTAAAGCAAGAGGAAGGTATTGAGTAGCCTACCCTGTGTTTTGATGATACAGGAACACAAGAATAGCTCAGTCAGAAAGATTACTGCAAGCATGCATTCCTCTCTCCACCACCAACTTTGACATCTGGACCCATTTTCTCTTTCAGCAACCACCATGAGTTCTTACCATGGGCCAGGCACTGAACTAGCCCTGGCTTCCCACCTTCCCTTCCTCTGGTCTTCCCACAGTCTACTCTCCACATCCCTCCTCAGCTAACACCCCTCCAATGGGACCCAGAAGAAACTGACCTCCTTCCTTACTGCAGTTCTCATGGCAACTACATGATCTCCCTTCTCTCCAGTCCTGAAACATCCAAGCTTGTTCCAGCCTCAGGGCATTTGCACTGGCTAGGAGGCTGGTTCTACTACAGGCAGGGGGACACCATGTGCCTAGTCTCCAGGATAGGAAAGAGTCTGACATGTATAAACAGTTGTCTGGTGTTAGAAGAGGGGCGTGGAGAAAGATGAGGCCTGAGGGTTGGCAGGGTTGGATCCTGTGGACCTTGCATTCCAAAAGGGAATCTGGATTTTATTCTAAGTACAATGCAAAGTCCTTGGAGAGTTTACAGCCCAAGAGTTAGGTGACCTGAATTACATTTTAAGAAGATCACCTGGGCTTCTGTGAGCATGGATTAGAGGGAGAGCAGCAGTGCACACAGAGAAAACAGAAAAGAGTAGTGCAGATGAAGGCAGATTTGTGATATACTCTAGAAAGAGAATCTACTGGAGTGGAAGGAAGGAAGGAAGGAAGGAAGGAAGGAAGGAAGGAAGGAAGGAAGGAAGGAAGGAAGGAAGGAAGGCATAAACCGTGCGCTATATTCAAACCATCTGCCAACCCCCAGCCAGGTCCAAACTGCCCAGCCCTCGCTGTGCCTTCGGGATGGCCTGGCTCCTCGGCTGGCGCCACTTCCTCCCCCACTGGCCACACTGGAGGTTCTCCACCCAGTCAGAGGCTTCCTCTTCTCCTGTGGCTTCAACCCCTCCAGGCTGACTCTGGCCCCGACTTCCCAGTTCAGTCCCACATTCTCAACTGTCCACAGACACTTCCACTGAGACATGCTGCAGTCTTGAATGTGAAAGCCCCAGGAACTCAGGCAGACTCTGATGGTAAACCGGCGCCCCTCCACTCTCCTGGCATCCCCACAGCCAGGCGGTCACCAGGTCCTCCTGCCTTACCCTTGCATAGCTCCTTTTCAAGGTCCACCACCCCCATTCTAGCCCAGGCCGTTTTCAGTCTTTTCCTCCCAATGTATCGATACAATGCCTGCCAGCATTCAACATTTCTGCAATAACTGCTGACTCTAGTAAGGGCAGATCTGTACATGGTTCAGCCATGGCACCCCAGCACTAAGCACAAATGAACAACTAACAAGCAAATGACACTGCTCCTTCCCCAAAAGCCACCAGGGGCTCCTCAATGCAATGCGATAACAACAAATGCCTTCAACAGGCCTCTGAGGCCCTCCACCATGCGCACTAATGCTCCTTTCTAGTCTTGTCTTCAATGACTCCATTTATTCCAGAGCCTAACTAGTTTCCCCAAGTCCTCTCCTTGCCCCAACCCCATCTTCCTGGTTGTTGACTGCCTCCATTTTAAAAGTCTTGAGCTTTTTAATACTTGGGGTTTTGCTGGTGCCAGTACCCCCCCGCCTCTGTCTACCCACACCCCACTCGGCTCCTTCCTTGTGTCTGAAGTCTCCCGGGACTCCCGCCCCCAGCAGCCTCTCACCGCTGCGCCTGCTGTCAGCTACCCCCATCACTCCTTAGGTCGGCACGCGCTCTCGACGTTCTCCGGTGAATCACCAGTGCCTCGTT